CCACCCTCTTCCTTGAAGCACAAGTCACAATGTCCTGGCATGAATACTGCCATAGGGGAAATAAAGAAAACCAATTCTACTGGTCATTTTTACGACCAGACCAACAATATCCAGGATGCTCTGAAAGAGTAAGGGAATTTAAAGATGGCCTTAAACAGTAATTCCAATTGAGGTTTTTAAATGTATACTTGCATTTAAACATGAATCATTAAAGCCACTATGTATAATATATTTTTAGGATATTTGTATATATACTTGTCTTTTGCTGTCCTTTTTGTAAAAGCAAATACATACAGTAAAAAAATAAAATAAAGGCCAGATTAAAATACATTTTAATTAAAATTAATTTTAATCTGAATGTTTTTTTTATCCTGTATTGATACTGTATCTAGATGAAGGCAAGAAAGATGCTAATCAGTTTGAAAAGAACCTTCATATTATTTTTTCTGTCTATCTGGTCTTTGATTGATTTACCAAAAAAAGGGGTATTAAAAAACACTAAAAAGAAAGATTTAAGAGTAGTGATGTTTCGAAACTACTTGTAAATCAAAACTTTCCATTGAATCCCTTTCCTTCTTTGAGGACAAGGAAGCTGGAACCCCCTGGAAATGACCAAAGATTAGCTGCAAAGGTGGAGATGGGGTGGAGGATGGGTGTTGCAGTTAAAACTTGAAGAACAGGATTACCTGGGACAAAACTTTTTGTTAGCTCTGTGCGGCAGTATCCTGGTACCATGAAAAAAAAAGGAAAAAAATATTTAATGTAACATAAAATTATATTATATAAAACTCATATAATATAATATGAAATGCCAAGTTCTTGGCAAGTGGCTGCAATGTTCTCTATTCAAGCTGTTTTGTCAAATAGCAACACTAGACTTTCTGGGGCGATTTACACGATCAGCAATGTTTTGCTGGGGGCAGGGAAATGATAAGATTAATTAGTGTGTGTGGCTTAATAATTAATCTAAAATATATTTTATACATTCATGGAATCATTTGTCCTATATATTTCAAGTAACATTGTTAGTTAAATCATGATTAAAATAAAATGCAAAGGTTACTAATAAAGGATCAACGTTTTGATCAACGTGCAATCACTGAAGTCAACTACTGTATGTCCATTTCTCTTGCTATTACAGAGCAATGTTGTGGTTACTGTATCATTTAACAAAAGTAGTAGGTGAGAGTTAGTTCTATTCATATAACACTGAAGCCCTGCTATGCTGTATTTTTCTGATGAAAAAGATAATATTTATTTTTTAACTTATTTAATAAATTATGGACTGCTTTTCAGTTTAGTTCTTTAAATATCGGGTTTATCTGAGATTGTAATTGGGTCACATTAACATGCATTTTAATTTACCCTGCTATTCATATACATCTAGTTTTAATTTGTACTTTAATAGTTTTAATTAAAGCTCCCTCGAATGGGAAGACATTGGCTGTTGAATTGCCTTTTTCTCTGATTTAATTGTATGGCTTCTGAAGGAGTAATAAGGACTGCTTTGCCGAACATGGACAGAGAGGTCAAAGAACTTTACCAGATTCTTATTCAAGCCAAGGATATGGGAGGACAACTAGGAGGGCTTGCTGGGACTACAACTATTAACATTACACTCTCTGATGTCAATGACAATCCACCAAGATTTCCAAAAAGTAAGAAAAATGTTTTTTTTTTCTGCAATATTTAACCTATAATCATTTTAATCTAACACATTGTACAAGTTGGTTATGAAATTACAATGTTGAAGGGTTTATTTTATTTACAACACAGTTGCAAATAAAATGTTTTGTCAAACAAAACAACAAAACAATACTTTTCCTGCATTTCAAATGCATTTTAAAGCCAAAAAGGCATCAGAAAATGTCTACTTCTGCAGAAACACTAACCCTAACCCTAGCTTGGGCACTTATACAATACCTATCATAAACCTTGCCCCTAAAAACTGTGTTCAAAAAGATACCCAGATGTTTGCAAACTCATCAGAAACATTTAAAGCAATACTTTTAAGCATTTTCAATGTATCTGCACTGAATCTGTTTTAAATTTCCAGTATTTCATTTTTTGTCACCTGCTGCTGAAATGGCGTTTAAAATAAGCCTGATTTGTGTCATTTAAGAATTATCATTACAATTACCACTTAAGTTTGGCAAAAAGCATAATTTTATTTGGGTTCACATGCAAAAAATTAAGAGAGTTAAACATCTAGAAAGTGTGATTTAAAAAGTTTTCATTTTCCACCATTTTTGAGTGGCAGTGCGCAGCTTAGCAAAATCCGCAAAATTGGTCCAAATTTTTTTCTCAAGGAAACAACAAAGCAATACTTTTCCTGCTCCTCATATGCATCCTAAAGCACAGCAAAGACATCAGAAAATGTCTACTTTTTGTAGAAATGCTAAACCTAACCCTAGCTCGGGCACTTCTAGAATACTGTACCTATCATAAACCTTGCCCCCCAAAATTGTGTTAAAAAAGTTACCCAACTGTCTGCAAACTTGTCAGAAACAGTTAAAGCAACGATTTTAAGCACTGAATCTGCTTTAAATATTCAGGATTTATTATAAAAATTATCTATAGAAATGTGCAGTCTCTAGATTTTCTTTTTATAAGGATTGGTGTAGAAACAGTAAATGTTGCAATTAAATTAGTTTTCACAATGACAGTGGCATGCATCGGTACTTTTACATTACTTCAAATTCAACAATGTTTTTTAACCAAACTATCTTCTTTTGTGATGTCTTCTTTTTGCTTTGGCTCTGTAATCATATAAGTATTGCTTTTAGAAGCAACCTTACAGTATGTCAACTACTCGTTCTGTGACAGCTACCGGTAAAAGGTGGGAAAATAATTCAGCCATTCTGGAGTTCAGATAATACATTATTTTATACTTTCTTATGTTACGTATGTGTATTTGTCATTTTACAAGGTTTAGAAATATATCAAATATGTTCTTTATATGCTCCATACCAAACATATGTATTGTTACTTCAAGATAATATATACACAGCACAACAAATGAAGCATCTTATCCTGACATTGTTATTCCATACCAGATTATTGATATTGCAGTAAACAAGAACTCTGTGTGCTCAACTATAACATAAGATGTACTGTACTTTTATTATGTAGTCATTGTTTCTTTAAATATAAGAAACATATAACTTAAACGTTTCTTTTTCCTATAGTTACCAAAATGCTACAGCAGTACACTTGGTATTTGTGTTTTTTAGTGCACAAGAAGACATGAAATTTGAAAACAAACAGGAAGAGTGGTATATATAACATCATTAAATACATTAAATCATTAAATACAATACACACAGATTCCCACTCAAATTAATATTATAGCTATATTTTAAAAGGGCAGTATTTTGCTTCAACAGTAATTCATGTACAGTGATCCTTACAGCAAATATTTTTATAAAACATATTTTATAACTTAAGAACCAAAATGAAAGTGATGGTCAAAAATCATAACAGTAGCTTTTATTAAAATATCTAAAATATTAGCATAAACTTGAAAAGCTGACAAATATAGAACACTAACATAAACACATGTAATATCTATACTAATATTTGCTTTCTTCACTATGAATATGCTTACACATAAAATGGCAAATATGCTTTTGTTATCTTAAATGTGTTACAGCAATGTTGCAGAGATCACTGCATCAATGATATAGGTACTTTAAAATATTTTAAATGTATAGATTTAAATATGCTTATGTGATTCTTCATTATACTCTAATACAGATATTATACACCTGAGAGTGCCAGAGTCTTCTCCAGTAGGATCCACTGTTGGAAGAATAAAAGCTCATGACCCTGATGCTGGTAAAAATGCAGAAGTGGAGTATACCATTGTTCCTGGGGATGGTGGAGCTATGTTTGATATCACAACTAATGAACAAACACAAGAAGGAATTCTCATACTTAAAAAGGTACATTTACTTAGAAATGTTAATGTTGCATTTTTATTTAGATTTCTGTATTACATTTTAAAATAATTCAAATTCTCTTGATTCTAATCACATGATTGTGTAACCTACAGCATGCAATAGGAAGGGGTTAATTACACCAATTATGAATTAAAATCTGATTATTGTTTAGTATACAGAAGGAGTGTCTATTCAACTCAGTACATCAGGATACTCTATCATTTAAATTATACATATATATATAGTACTGTATAGAGCATATTAATGCCCATACATTTAATTAATAATATTTCTTAATAATTATATAACTCTCCCAAAGGATCCCAGAGCATTTTACATTCAGAAGCACAAACACTTCATGCACAACTGAAGCACAGTACTGACCTAGGTGACGCATAGCTGTCAAGCTAAAGAAACCCCACTACAGAGCTGATCAGCTGGAGAAGCATGAAATTGCTTCACCAATTGCATTAACAGAAACTACGAAGTAGCCCAAATTGTGCAAGCCAAAAATTAAATTTAACCATGAAAACTACTTTGTCATCCTTTCTCTTATCTTTATCCTCATACCCCTTGTCTCGTCCGAAGGGTGGCACTTCCTACAACACAGTGTGTTCAGTCACCATAATGGGGCATTGATTTAGAAATTCTAGTCTTGAGTGAGGTGTTCCAACCACTGGTCTATGGCTACCATTGTCTTAGCTTGTTTAGAAACCATTATTGTTAGCAATTGGTGTTGTTATATATATGGTAACACATTCAATTTCTTAAGTGTCTTAGTAACACACTTTTTTTCTAAGGCAATACAACTTGAAAACATTTTAATTGTAATTTTAAGCTAATTTTAATTGTATTTTATTAACTAAACATAAATGTAATCACAAATGGCTTTTCTCTACAGTACAGAGTTCTAAAAAGTTAATTTCACAAAGTATATAAACTTTACATAACAAAATAATACTTCCTCATTAATAAAAATATGTATTACAATGTCTTTAGAAATATTTTTAAAATTTGCCTTATTCAACTAAAATCATTTTCATCAATAACCACGTATACAGATACAGTATGATGATATCAGATATGATGAGACACATATAAAAAAGAATCTAAATCTAAAAAAGCAGACGCACTTAATGTATATAACAATGAAGCACTTTGCAGACCAGAGTGTGAGAACAAAAATGTTAGCACAGTAACCAAGCCTGTCATAAAGATCTGCTAAGCAAAAATATATCTTTCTCTTGGTTCCAAGTGCTACTCTACTAATGCCCATTTAGCAAGAGTTTTTTGTACCGAGAAAAACAAAAAAAAAGTCATAGTCTGAATAGACTATACAAACAAAATCTCTCTTCCTTTGTCTGCATCTCATGGTCATTTTTTTTAAATTCTTCACACCATGCTACTGAATTCACCATGGCTGGTGGCAACCTTTAAATGGATTGAATCATGTTGCTGAGACACTTGTCAATTACCACATAGTCAGTTGTGTGACTGCAGTGCAGGGAAAAAAACAGAAAAAAAAGACACTTGCCAATTAACATACAGTTATATTCAATAATTAAATTATTTCTATACAGTCATAGTTATATGGTTATTTGAATCTAGACTTATTTTCCTAGAATATATGTGGTTAGGACTTCTAGATTTTTTTGTATAGAAAGTATACGTTTTTTTTAACAGAGGCATCTCTTCTCAGGCAACATGGTGTTTACAGATTTGCTAAGGAATATGGTATTGCTTCTTCCTCTTTGCGAACAATAAAGTATTCTGGTTTTGTTACACTGTTACTTTCTGCTCTATGTTTTGGTTATAAGAAGCAATCAAGAAAGGTAATTGCATTTTTGAAGACAAGTTTTGCATATGAAAATTTGCTTTTATTTAATTTAATACCTTGATGACCCATATTTCATCACTGCACAGGCTGTTATCGGGCCTCAGTGAATATATAATCAGAATCAAAGGTCAATTGTCATTCTGTTTATGCATGTTTGTTTTAAAAAACTAAACCATAAATATTCTGAATATTACATATTTTTATATAATTTTGATTAATTGGCTGAGATACATTAGAGTATCTTTGACTGTTGAATAAGCACTAAATCACTTCATTATTGGAAGAATTGATTGAACACCTGTCATGAGGTAATTTCACCTACTGAATATCAAACAGGCTAAACATCAAGAAAGAAAAATCACAAACAGGAAGAAAAATACCCTGCATAACAATAACTTAATGCCAATTTTATGCTGAATGCTAGGTTACCTTAGGTACACTCACTACTAGAGGATTATTAAGCATAACGAACCAATTGTAGGGGAGATTCAAGTGCGTTGGTCTGTGCAGATACCTCTGTTTACTACAGAACTCAGCTTGTGGTGATTTATGGCAACCTAAATCCACAGAACGGCACATTGGTCTAGCCCTGCATCCTCACTGCATCCTCTGTGCTCATCTTAACATGAAAATGTGACATTCCTGCAGGATAATGCATGCCCTTGTGTAAGAATGACTTTTTCTGTGAGATAAGAAGGTGATAATTATGGCATGGCTGCATGACTATAGTATAGTATTTAGTATATTTCATTAGGTGTGAGCCCACCGAACATTTATGAGATGAGTTGGGATGATGTATGACATGTAAGGCTCAAAGAACGTGATTAGACTATAATGTTTTACAAGATGAATAGGACACATTCAGAAAGTATCCACACCCTGGTGCAGAATTTGCATTCCACAGCTTGCATAGCTTCCAGCAGTGGCAACTAGCCTGTGACATTACTAGTAGACCCCAGCTGATACAACCCTTTTCATGAAATATTTTATGTATTGTGTTTATGTTAATATTTTATTTTTACTTAGTATAGTGAATTATATATATATGTTAATGAATTATCTATATCATATCTAATAAAATGTTAGTGTCAAAGTTATATTTTTTTCATATTCCTATATATTTTTTAAACAACTTCACTTTCTCACTGGTAATTAGAGTTTCATACACATAGGGCTAGGCAGGATTACTACAGTATATCCATGAAAATTAACATCTGGCTGCAAATGACTGCAGTAAGGAAAGCTTTGAGAATAGGTCTCTAACTATAGTCTCTATCAAACAGTGTGAATGATCTGTAGGATGACACAATGACCACTTAATGTCACAACATACAGTATATTCAATTAGGAATAGAGCATCAGTACTCATAATGAAATGAGGATAATATCCCTCTATCTCAGTTTTCTCTAGTGTACAAAATGCCATTGCATCAAAGTTTGAACTTAGATCTTTTTTTTTTTATTTCTTATATAAAGTGAATATTTTTTCTCTGTATAATAAATAAATACAAAGATTTGTAGAGATATTTGCTAAAAGGATCTGACAAGAAAAAATCTTAAGGGAATCCATTCCATATCACTAAGTCTGAATACTCTGGTATCTTTAGTTAAATGGATAGTTGCTCTACATTTACTAATAAAAGCTTTTGAAGAGTATTTGAGTGCAATAGTCCCTTGAGTAGGAGAATAGGGGATACATACATTATTGCTACGGATACATGAACAGTGAATATTTTTTCACAAATAATTTCTACTTTTTCGAGAGATGTGGCAAACAAATTGAAAGCAAATAAAGCTGAAAAAACAGTAATTCCCCCTTACCAGTTCTGTTGTTTAATAGTGCATAATTGTGTTTTCTTATTTACTTTACACAGTTCACGATTAGCTGCTTATATAATGACAAAGATACTTATGCATTTCAATTTTTTTACTTTGTACTTTCAGTTACGTGTTATATTAAGTATATCCACAAAATAATGGAATGATCCAAAAAGTAAATAAATGAGACTTCAGCATTCCAGAGTGCTTTATATGAGATATGTTCTGAGGTATTCAGCTTGTAGTGCTGACATTTAGAAATGTAAACATGCAGGCTTATGAGAGTAGCTTCTGGAAGCTAGACAGGGAAAATCCACTGGGATAGATTTCCCTCATTACAGAGAGATCATGTGCAAATTCCTGAAGCTAAACTTGGTCTTCCACAATAAAGGGACTGGTAAGGTCTGCTATGGGAGAAGACTACTCAAGAGAGTGAATATATGCTTCAATCTCCAATGCTGGGTGTGTTTTGTAAGTAAAACATAACCTAGACTTTTTAAACTGATTGAAAAATATACAATCAGTAAATTAAATAAAACCTAAATCATTTAGAACATGGCTCTAAACAAGTAAGTTTATGATTGATTTATTAACAATGTAAAAGCCTGAAAGATTCTGCTAGATATAAAAATTGTTAAACTTAAAAAAGATTAATGGATTGGGGCTTCATAACTCTTCAAAGACTAATGTGTTCAGTGATGCTATAAAGAACAGTAGGACATTACACACACCATAATAAGGATATGAAAAAATAAATGGAGTTGGGAGAGTAGAGTCTAAAACCACACCTTTAAATAGTAGCCCTAAAAAGAGCTTTTTAGTTCATAGTTTTGCCTTCACTAGAGAGTGTGGGTCCAGCGAAGGGGTACAATCTGTTCTCCTCTACACATTAATAAAGGAGAAAATCTACTTTTATTTCTACACAATACAAATATGTCATGGTTATCTCTTATCACATAATAAAATATCTCACATTTCAATAGAAAATCACCATAGAACTCTGCTTATGTATGAATGAAGGAAAAACACTAGAAATCAAGCAGAACATTGCATGATTTCTAACACATTTACATTTTCACATAGCACTCTATAGTAAAAGTATTTTAAAATCCAAGAGCCACAATCTGACATTTTAATGGAAACTTACTCATCAAAATATCTGTCCTTGATAGCAATCATAGGTGTACATTATTATGAAGTGCATTTTCCCATTTCAACCTAATCATGGTTAAAACTCTATCAGACATCTGGCAAGTTGTTACTGTACAGTACCATTTAAATAATCTTCAGGTCAGACTACTGAAGAGACATGTACATGTTGTACTTTTTTATTTCTACATGGTCCTCA